AAGACTAGGGTAAGTTTAAAATACAAAATATTCACCTTTCGAAACTCGTTCTCTGGAGGACGACTTCTGGTCAAAATCTCGTTGTCGACGAGCGGCACACGACGAGTTTCCCGCTCCCGTGACAGTGTCACGGAGAGCTACGCATGCGCAATGTGAGCACACTAGTAAACTCGTCCTCGTAGTCGTTCTCGTACTCGAATCTAAAGCTCTCTATTAACGAAACGATTAAGTGACAAAGGAAACTATTCAAGTGTGCGAGATATCATAACGTAGCAATCAAATGACACAAAACTACAAGTACCGAGATACTAACGTAACAATCAAATGACAAAGAAAACTAATATTAAATGTGCGAGATAGTCAGTTGCAATTCAAGAAAACCGCTGAGAGAGAAAGACAAACTGCTCGCAAATTTACTCTCGTGACCCTATTGTCGCTTGACTCGTGTGTGACTCGGGCGCAAAAGCCCTTCTCGCGGTCAGAATTACTCTGTGTCGACCTGCTCTGACTAGAATTTACTCACGGCTCAAACTGCTTCTGTTCAGAAGAAACACTTCTGTCTCTAAATACTGTCCTTGCACAATGTCACAAGGAACTGTTCATCACATTGCGGAGAGCGGGTTTCAAACAGCGAAACTTTATGATCAGGTCAGACCGAGTTATTCAGAGGAAGCCGTTAAGTTTTTGATCGGTAAACTTGGTATTGCAAGCCAAAATGCTTCATCTAATCAGCCAGTAAGAATCCTAGAGCTTGGAGCAGGAACAGGGAAGTTCACTGATATTTTGCACAGGGTTCTTCGCGACGGTGACGTGGAAATAATTGGAAGCGAGCCGCTTCTTTCTATGAGAGAAGTGTTTGAAGAAAAATTTCCAAGCATAGAGATGAAGGATTTTCCTGCAGAAAATATCGGTATAGATTGCATGTTGTAGTTTTTTAGTTCATTTTGCGCTTAAATAACAGATACAATATTCCCTATCAACGATGGATGGCAAAGGCTGCATGGCAGACATACAAAAGAGGGGGGTGGACAGGGGAGCCAGCTTCGGCAATAGGGCTTTATAGTCCTCGGTTGGGGTGGGGGGGGGGAGATTATCTTACAAAGATTGGTATAACATAAAAGCATGATGACTTCTACCTTTCCATCTACTTCAAGTTTGAAATATGCTTTACTTTTTGTTGAAGAATTCCCTTACACCCCTGGTATAAAAAAGCTCCTAGGGTTGGGCTGAAAACAGAAGGGGCTCCTTGTTAGCAGGCCAGTAGCTAAAAGTGGGTTTTTGATAAATTTTAAAGCTTTAAGTCTAGTGGCTAAGGAGGGTGGTTATTTTCTAGGTGATTGAAGGTTACACACTGCCATTTTGTCTGGTTACCCCAAAATTTTGCCTTCATCCATTCATACTTCTGTTTGGAGGGAGGTTTTGGGGGGGGTTTAGTGTCATGTCTAAGAACACAAGGCAGTGATCCATTCCAGTTTAATCTATTTCAGTCTTAAAAGCTTCAGTTTCAATATTGTTTTTTTGTATGATTCAGGTTTGCCAAACAACAGTGTACATGCAGTGATTGCCGCACAGTGTTTCCACTGGTTTGCAAATGAAAAGTCACTTTCTGAAATTCAACGTGTACTTGTTCCTGGTGGCAAGTTAGGTCTGGTGTGGAATTTACCTGATTATTCAGTGCCTTGGATTAAAGAAATCTGTGATGATGTCATTTTTCCTTTGTATGCACAGTCCAACACACCAAATGTATATGGTGGTGAATGGAAGAGAATGGTAATAGCATCTGATAAATTTGGTCACTAGAAGGTGATGAAAGTTTTACGAGTGAACTGACAATTGATGAGTTCATAAGGGAACTTTCATCATTTAGTGTTATAGTAGTCAAAAGTGACAAAGAAAAGAAAATGATAATTGACAAAATTAAATCAATTTTAAACAAGCATAAAAAACTAGAAACAAACACATTTATCCTTCCTCAAAAATTTGAGATGTATTGGTGTGAAAGAACATGAATTCTTTTCCACCTGAACATTTTGAAACTGATTTGATATTATTGTGTGGCAGACTCATGACAAAGAAACATTCTTTTTGATTTATTAAATATAAAATAGTGAAAAATGTTTGAACAAGGAAATTAAAGGTTTGATGGTGTGAAAGAACATGAATCATTTTAGTTAATGAGTTTTAAAGTAATTGAATTTACCAATCCAATCCTTTATTCCTATGAATTAAAAAGGAATACTGTTTTTAGAGCACTAATCAACTTCCATAGAAAAGCAAACATACAGAAGTTTGTATACATTCTAAACAGCATGTGCTCGTTTGAACCTCATTTCAAATTCCTAGAATTGTGTTTGTGTCACTCGCTCGAGACTTCTGTCTCTGAATAAACAATGTGGAGATGAAACTACCTTCTTCGTCCATCCAGCTTTTTTTGTGCACTGAAACTTGCATCCTTGGAGGTGTGTTGATATTCAGCTATCAAACACCGCTGAATATGACTTTTGATGGGAGTTTTTCGCTATTTACTTTCACCGCCAGAGCAACCGTGAAACTTTCTCAGATCCATCACACCTTTTGTTAACTCTCAACCTTTTGGTGTGTCTCACAACTGAGTATTTTCACATAATTTTCAGTTTGGGAACTTAGCTTGACTAAGTTGTTAAGTTTGGGGTGCGTCTTATAACCGAGAAACTATGGTATGTACTTAATGCTGCAGACCATAGAGCAGATTATCTTACAAGGTCCCACTTGTCAAATTTACTCAACAGCCTTAATATGAGCACAATCTTTATCATCTTTCTGCCTTAACCCTTTAACTCCCAGAAGTGATTAAAATGTAACTTCTCCCCATAATGTCCATACATTGTCCAGCAAACAAGTCATGAGAATTCTCAAACTTATCACAGGGCTGTGGTCTAGCAGCACCCGGTGGCCCCTGACACCTTACTTTTGCTCTTGGGCTACTCAGAAATCTTAGTTTTTTTCATAAAAATCAAAGGCTGGGCACCCTGGATTTCACAGTTTCAGAGGACTCGGCTCCCTTTAGTCTTGCTCAGAGCACAGCCTTGTATTAGGTAGCATTTGTTATCTTAATCTAACACCAAATTCTCATAACTGATTTACAAGGAGATGTGTAGCAGTTTAAGGGGAGAATGAACAATCAGATCTTGGGAGTTAAGATTTAAAACAGTTTGGGAAGATGGGAAAAGTGATCAAGTAAGTTATTAGGGATATGATTATCGTTGATTTTGATTAGACGAGGTGGTCCATTTTGAAAAATAAATTATTATAGCTTTTTTGCCCTTTTTGAGAGTAAAGATGATATGACATAATTTATAACCTTTTTGATCAGTGTCAAAAATGCATAAACTTTTTCCCGGCCACCATGAAAACGTGTAGTAAACTTTAAATACTCTTGCCTTTACCAACCTAAAAATGTCTGCCTACTTTTTTCCTTTAGCTACTATCAGCATTTTTTCAGCCTATAACCACTAAAAATAGAACAGAATGTTTTCTCCTAAGAATCGCATAACATCAGCCTAAAAAGGAAACCCAACAGTTACACGAGGGAATACAAGGGCGTAGCCAGGGGAGGTCCTGGGGTGCCCGTGACCCCCTCTTGGTAGGTCTTCTTTAGAGCAAACAACCTACATTATTCAGGTGGCGAAAACGCCATGACAATATCTTGGCCCGTAAAAGCCATTAATATGGGCCTACATGCCGCGATAATACGACTGAGCCCACTGATACACGCGGGAGAGCAGCGCTGTAAATGGTGAGTAGTTTCTGTGACCCCCCACCCCCCCTTTGAAAAATCCTGGCTACGCCCCTGGAATATAGGAAAAAGAAAAACGTTAATGAAAGTAGGAAGCAGACATCTAAGACCTATGAAGTAAGTGTCAAAAGGAATTGTGGGCTATGTTCGCAATTCGTGTTCAGCTTCAGCTAAATAGTAGAAGGGTGTACCCATCTTACTTCCAGTTTCACAATATTGAATTGTTCCAGTTAGCTTGTGTTATGAGTGCAAAGAAGAACGTCTGTAGACTTCAACTTTAAGAGCTTTATTGCAGTAGTTTTTACACGTGATCCATGAGATCACGTGACTTACAACCCACTTATCATAACAACTTGTCCTTTGTCAATCTGTTCAGAAAATATTGACCAACAAACATTTAATTTAACTATAATGATAATACTGAAATGTCATTGTAACCCTTGAACTGTATTACTTTCCTAGTTTTCTCTTGGACGGCAATATGTCTTGTACCGTTTAGGTATATTGTACTAAGCAAATTATTTTTTATGGGAACAGAGCTAACTGAAATATCAACATCAGAAGTTTGTGTTGAATGCAATTATATTAGTTCCAGTTACATAATATTGAGTTCTTCCAGTTTCATTGCTTAATTCCCTCTGAACCAAAGTTTTGATGGAACAAGTATTTTCCGTATCTTCCAACGGTAAGCCCATTACATAGCCCATGAAATGCTGTTATTCATACTTTGTAGTCAATTGGAATAAAAATTATATATATATATATATATATATGTTTCCTTAAAGATTAGCAGTTTCTGGTCGATGAAAGTGTTACTTTCTACATTCCTTGTTTCTTAGCAGTGTTCATCGCTTATGTACTTTCTTACAATTGCAATGGGTTAATATTTTACAAATTCCCACAATGAGAATCAATTCAGCTCAAAGCTTTGCAACAATACACTAATCACCAGTGGTCCTAAAGAAGACATTGCTGATAACTGCAACAATTCAAAATACGTACATTCAAACAACTAAGACACAATGCGGCGTGACAAGGAATGGCGCGTTT